CAAAACACAGCGGAGCACATGTGTATATCTCTATATATATAATATAAATTGAACACATAACACGTATGTATATATATATATAGATGTCTATCTATTTATTTACGCCCATACCCATCAACGTGCCATCTAACATGTCCATTGCGTGCACACGTCCGCAACCAGCGCCTTGGTCGCATCCTTCACATCTGCCATCCAAGCCCCACTGCTGTCGGACAGGTTGGCCTGACAGGCAAAAACCAAATGGGTCCAGCTCCAAAACCAAGGATGTGGATCATTGGTCAGGATAACGGAAATGGTAGAGTTGGAAAAATGAATCAGGCAACCGCGTTTCAACACCAATCGAAGCCTTGACATCATGTGCTTCTCACTCACATCACCTGGGCTTCAATGCAGGGCGCAATGCAATTCCATCAGCACGACACCAAACACAAGTCCATGCGTGCACGACCATAGGAAATACAGTAATTATGTTGTTGGTGCGGCTTCTTGTGCAAATGTGGTATGGCAATGTTGGTTCATTGAAAGTCGTGCTCCCTTTGTTGTGCCCGCAGAATCACTGTGCGTCGGTCTCCCCAAACTAAGAAAAAACATTGGCGACGTGAAACGAGCTGAACCGCCTATTTGTTGGGGTCTTTAAGCATGTTTCTTTCAGTATGGGAAAACGTGCACTTTGGCTGAGGTGTGCACCCTTCCACATGGAGACCTTTTGCATTTCTCGGCAGGTGAGTACAAGGGAAGTCATGTACAAAAAATGAGCCTCACCAATTAGAATGGGACTGTAGTAAAACAAGTTACTGCATGATGATAGGCTAAGATGTGTAGTCTTTCAGCCCTGTATTCTTTCCCGGGAGGATTGCTCCTTCTTTCAATCATCTGACGCAGGATCCAATAACCTCACTTGCTGAGTGGATTGGCTCAATCAAGTTCAAACTTGCTCCTACTTGCCACTAAAATCACCAGAACGGTCTGCCCAAGAAGTATCAAGCGCGAGAACTCAGGGAATGGGTAACATTTGCGTAGACTCTGATGTGGCTCCATGCCTTGACGCTGCGGATCTCCTGCTTGGGGAACTGCTTCTTCAGCTCCTGCAAGCGCAGTGTCCACTGAGGTTTTGGACTCCGCCTCACGGCCGCACTGTATGTACAATATCTAGCATCGTGTCTGCCTATATATGTACCACTATGTGTACAAATATTTACCTACACTTATATATATATATATATATTTGTATATATACACCCTTCCACACGCACACATGCCTTCAAGGTCTCATCGAACACGGGCTCGTCACCTCAGTCCAAAAGAATCAAGAACAAATACATGCCACCCACATGCTGCGACGGCCAGGCCAAATCAAGCAAAGCGCGTGCAGTTAGACTTGAGATGTGGCTGTGGGTCAACACCAGTGGTACCATTTTGGGGGAGGTGCACCACCCATTTTAGTCCATTTTAGTGGGGATTGGGATGTTCACTGGGGGTATGATTTGGCCTTGTGTCTGAAGTCAAAGTCAGTAGCAACTCCTGAGCTTCGGATTGCAACAAAATTCAGCCCGGCACGGGCCACGATGACCACATTCAGCCCTTGTGACAGGAGCTTCCTGGCAAGCTCCTGGGGCAAACTCGGACAGGAAGCCATGAACCATCATCAGAGCTGGAAACAAGATCCCATGTAAATGGTAGCTGTCACACGGTTTACAAGATCTATTTCCATGTGGGCGGCCATCTGCACCTCAGCAATCCCAAACAAGTGCGAACACTGAGTGCACACTTGCGAGTGCGACTGTTGCGCGTGTTTACTCTTCACTGTTTGAAGCTGTGCGGCTAAATCACTAATCCGCTCCCCCAATTAATGAATGACCCCAATTAATAATAAATGCAAATCCGGGGCCCGGGACCAGATTTCCACTCCACACAATTGATTTTCCATTGCGCCAATACTAAACCAATACCAACGTCTTGGAATCCTTATTAGGGGGCACTTTTGGCAAGCTTCCAGCCTCACTTTTCAACAGGTGGGTTCCTCAATTCCCCAAAAGGTTGCTTTCCCAAAAGCTGGCTTCTCAAAAGGTTGGGTTCTTTTGGTGGGTTCCCAAAAAGGTTGTTCTTGACTCTGTTGTCCCTGGCTGTCCCTGACTCCCTGGCTGGCTGCGTTTGTCACCTGGCTGCGGTCTGTCTGAGAGCTCTGTCCTGGCTGGCTGCAAACAAACAACCAGTAAACTGGTAAACAAATAAAATGATGCATCAAATTTCCTTATTGAACCGCTTACTCGCGGACCTTACAATTTAATCCATTTCATCCAAATCCTACGTGAACCCTCACATTGTTGGAAAAGCAAAAAAAACCAACCCCAAAAACCCCAATTAAAAAAATATATATATTTTTGGGGGGATTTATTTATAATAGGGGGGGGCGTATTTATTAATAGGGGGAAGAGATTATCAATGGCGCTCCCGCACAAGTGGCCCTTGCTTGGTCAGTCTTGCTCACCGAAACAGGTTCCTCCACCCTCGCTTGATGATTTGTTCACGGCCTTCTCGCAAAGTTCTTTGCAAACGCTGTGTCGGATGGCATTCCCCCCAAAAACCAGCATTCATCAGCATTCACTTATTATTAGCTCGGCTCGTCTGAGTCCCATGCGGAATGCGGGACGTCTTGTACAAACTGTACAAAGGTCTATGGTGCACGCCCTCAAACAAGGCCCGGGGTTTCTCGTCTCACTCATAAATTGGCATCCTCAGCACTCACTCTTATGCATATGCGCGCCGAAAAGCATTTGCACTGCCCTGCCTTGCCGATGCCAGAAGATCCACCTAGGCGGAGAGCTGGCATGTGGCGGTACACAATTCATTCAACCATAGCGATGCATGGTTGTCAGCTAAATAAATTTCGCACAACCCGGCTTAAAGGGAAGCGCACACGCACAGCCACTTCATTTAACAAAGTTGGGACAACAATACTGCGAGTGCGATCGGATGAGAGTGGGCAATGGACCTACGAAGAAGGGAACTCGGGAGACTTTCAGGGACATCGTGAATGGGTTCGTTTTATATCCAGGGGCCGAACAGCCCATAACTCCCTTCCCGCCCCCTCCTCAGGTTGCCAAACTATATGTGCCAAGGGTCCAGTCACCAAAGACCAGCTGGCACCATATCTGGCTTTGAGATCTTGTGGCCCCAGCAGCCTGGCAAAGGTGAAAAGCGGGCGTTGGTGTCTGCGAGAGTAATCAAACGAACACAATCAAACGTCTAAGCCTAAGTTTCGAAAAGAAGATGCCCAATTTTGGGTAATCCGCGGCAAACAGTTTGCTCTTGAGCGACGTGGCATTGCCCTCTCAGCGAGCAACAGTGCCTCCCCAGCTTGCAGGACAAAACGCCCCAAACTGCGTGGATGTAGCGACTAGAGGTGGCTAAACGGGAATTCAACAGTGAATCATCCGGGCCTACTTGAAGCTGGGTGCGGAAACTAGCGAGAAAAACCTGAGAGTTGTTGAGTGGACCTTCCTGAAATACTTCCGCTGCCAACCCTTGAGGGTGGAACACGGTTGCCATCAACGCCGCCCATCACGAAACATGAAGCCCTGACACTTCCTGCATTTGTCCATTTTTCATGGGCTGTGATGGCTATGCCCAACTTGTGACATGTCTTGCAGGTCCCGACGTTCTGCGGAGCTTGGGTCTCGCCTGGGAACGAGGGAATTCAGGGCCAGGTACCTCGCCGCAGATTGATGCCCACTCGGACAAAAGCACTGCAAAGAATACTTGACACATGTCTCCGGGTCATTCAATGGGCTACTCTGATTTGCTCCAAATTGCGAAGTCTTGCTCCAAGACAGGGCTCAAGAATGCAGCCACGGCACATAAGTGGGGAAAGCAGCAGGAAAAGTAGCAGCAAGTAGATCATGGCAGCGGTGGTAATCCTCACCAGCAAAAACATGTGCCATCCAGATGGTTCAAAAGATTTGGACGTCAGGCGAACAGGACACGTCGAGCCTAGCGCATCTGGGTCTAATATGCCCGAAATGGCTGCTTGAATCGCCTGGGCGAACCTGATCGAACTGTGGAACACAACAACGCTGTTAGCAGCTCATCCCAAGCACAAATCGGGCATAAGCAACGGCAATTAGAATGCAGGCCTGAAGCTGTGGCAAAGGCCGGCTCAGCTTCTGTGCAGAAGTCGGACCGAGGAAATGGCAAAAACACTCAGACTACCACAAGACTAGACCACACCGTGACCTTGACTGAGACCGACAAGGCCGCCCAGCTTCAGTTCAGTGCAGAAGGCTGAGAACCCGGCAAATATCGGCAAATTAAACAATTGGAAAACACAGGCCCAGCAATGCGCTTGAGCCAACGATTGCGGGGGCGCGCGCCAAGCTGCATCTAGAACCAAGGTTCACAGGTTTCATGGACATCAAGCTGGCATGTTGAACACCATGGCTCCATGCTGCCCACTTCGTCTTGACCAAGCAACAGTTGCTCATGCACGAAATAGCACAAGTAGTACGCTTGTGGACCCTGGCATTAAGAGCAAAAACGAGAGCATGTATAGGTCATGGTGTCAGCAACATGCAAACTGCCCGGAACACGGCAACATATTGCCATGTGTGTTGTCGTGCCCAAGGATTGCCAGGCATGGAGATCTTCTTGACTTCGTGTTGTGGCCATGTGACAGTGAGTGATTTTGGTAGGCTAGCAAGGTGCTGTTGTTTCTGCTCCATGGGTTCTCCACAGATTTGGAGCTCTTGGGACATTCACTGGACCAGATTTGCTGGTCTCACCCTCATCTTCTGTTTGGTTCTGCAGTCATGTTCACCTGGTCTCATCCCCAGCAGGCGGCAAAGTGCTTTCCCCAAAAGTCGGATGGTCAAGCCGCGCATCCGGCAAGAAACCCGTTCTTTCCAGCAAGGGTCACGGTTTCGGTTTAAACCCATTTGGGTGCGCGCCCTTTCTGCGTATCGGTGCATCCCCAAAGACACACCAAGACACACTGAGGTCGCAGCTGCCCCACTGGCCACGTGCCAAATTCCTCCAAAAGCCTGGCGGATCTAGCACCGGGGCCTGTGCAAAAAGTCCGTGCAAAAAGTCCGGATCATCTTTGCCCACCACTTTGCCACATTTGAGCTTGCCTCTAGCAATGGATTGTCGACAAGCATGCGGGCGGTGTCAAATCTCCAGCCCGCCCAGTAGAAGCTCGCTAGTGCCTCCTTTTTGCAAGCATGCGAAGCATGCGGTCGACATTCCGTTTACTAAGAACAAGCAACACCGGCACTCACTTAAGGTCTCGTGCGGGTTCCGCCTTGTTTGCAACGTGCAACTGCTGCAGCGAGCGCAACCATGTGGGCGTTCCTGCTAAAAAGAAAGGAGTATAGCTACAGACTCGCGGAAAATGTGTTCAAGTCAGAATCTTTGCACAACTGCATATAGAGCGAATCTGACGAAAAAGAAAGATGATTGGAAGGGAGGGACGGCTTTGAGACAGTGGGTAAACAAGTCTTGAGACACGACTTAGCAGGCAGCCAAAATGCTCTGTTGCTATGTTCAGTAGTTGTTGACATCTTCAATGTGTTTCAATCATTGATCCGAATATGAGGAGATTCCGATCCGCCTGACGCATACCTGGACCCTCCGGAAACAAACTTCCGTTCGTGGCCGAAACAAGACGTACAAACACGTACATGAACGCATCTAAGGACATTTGACGGACGTCGCCTTTCACAGCCTGTGAGCGCTTGTGGCGTTCTGAGACGCAGATTGCAATTCATACGGCCCCTCAGCCTTAACTCCGCTTCATGCCTTACGTCTTCAGTTGCTGTGAGACAACAAGTGACAGTTCCCTTGAGGCTGCAGTTTTCAGGAATGCACAAAAATCGGTGGGATCCTTGGTAACTTGCACACGTTCGCTTGCCTTTTCGGCCCATGAGCATGACAAGCTCCAGTGCCAGGGCCGGAGCTGAACGTGAGGTTCTTGTAGGAAACGTGTCTCTTTATTATTGCCCACGAGAACACATCAATGTTTTGCTCAAACGTACAGACTCGCGTCAATGCAATACTTTTGCGGACATTCGCAAACAAAGCCCCCTTAAGGTAGCTTAGTTTCCACTAGACATTGTGCCGGTGATTTTACAGCTGGGGGAATGTGGACCCTTTCAATTGTGTCACTTCGGGCAATCTCATAAAACTGCTGCTCAATATATTGCTGACAACTGCCGAACCTGGGTTCGTCTCAACATGTCTCTGGAAGCCCTCCCCCCCCCCCATTTTTGGTGGTTTCAATTCTTTTAACTTCAAACCAACACAAAATAGGGTATCCTCAAAAGACGACAAACCCTTGGATCCTAGCCTCCGTTGGGTCTTCTGCATCATCCTTATCACGGCGGGCAAGGATGCCTCCTGAGCCACCTGGCGGCTGAAGCTCAGGCAAGGCATCCGGGGTCAATCCACGGAAGCCAGCGATGTTCCAAGGAGGAGAATCCCAAACCCATCCCTTGATGAGAAACCGCCTTTCGACCCCTTTGTCGGATCCCATGGTCTATGCTAATTCGGGGAGAATTAGCATAGCTGCAGTGGTGCGCGCCTTCGCTTCTCAGCAGCCCATCGCCAAGGCGACTGCCAATGGTCCAAGCCTACGAGTCGAGGAGCTTTCGCTTGCGCCTTCGGCGGAAAACCATGAAATTCTGGCCCACTGCCAAGGAAGTCCTGGTTTGGACGATTTTCCTTTCAAAGACGGACCCTCTGTCAGGCTCCATGTTAGTAGAAAGAAGAGTACATGCCAATGCAAATTGCAATTTTTGATGGGCGGGTGTGCATCATCCTGTTGCCTGAAGTGGTCCAAGCATGCACGCAAATACGCACACACACACATGCACGCGCGCACACACACACACACAGAAAGTCACACTCTTTCCCAAGCCCGTGCCTCCATCCAACTCTGCCATAGCATTATTGCACTATTATCGAAGAAACAAACTCTCATACAAGCTCAAGTAACGGGGTAGTGGTGATTCATATATGCATGGCTATATATATATATATTGTTGTAACTACATGTGTATACCTCAACATGCAAGCATGCGCCTTCAGGGCAGCTAGGAGTACGCGGATCTATGCGTTAGGCTTGGCATCGGCGTCGTGGCCTGGCTGCGAAGGCCTTTGTAGAGCAGCAAGCTCCGGCCCTGGCTCAATGAAACAGGGCTGCTTGGTTTGATGTGGCTGTGGGACAAATGGGATCCCATTTTGGTTGGCAGGTGAATTCACCACCCATTTTAGAACCTATTTTAGTGGTTGGATTGGGATGTTTACAGGGGGCTAACCAGGATTTTGATCCACGCCCAGGTCTCCAGTTATGAGTTGGGATGGGCACTCAGCACCTGTGGCAAGAGGGTCTCGAAATCAGTGTCCTATGTCCCAAGCAGCACCGGAATCACGAAGCGTTGTTTTCCCTGCTCTCTCATATCTCTCATGCCCAATCTGCACCTTTCCAGTCGCCAAAGCCTGGCCGAGATCACATGCGGAGTGTGAAAGTTGGCACCTTCACAGTGTCAAAGAGCTTAATGCGGCTTTTAAACGTAGGCCTCCTAGCATTTCCCCCAAAAGATCGGCACAAATTTCAGCTCACTACCTAATTCTCCCGGTGCAAGTTTCTACAGTTGCGACATAGAAAAGCCCAATGCCTAGCTCCAAACATTGGCATAGTTTCCGCAGGTGCCTAAAAGCCAAGGCACTGCTGCTACCAGCCTCTCTGGCAGTGCTTTGTTTTCACGAAGCGCCTTCATTGTGCAAGTGCCCCACTGCCAGCCTGGATCGGCGGAAAATGGCACTGTGGCAGCCCCATCAGCGAGAGGCATTGGCATTGTCACTTTCTAGCGGCTATCATGCTGAATCAGCAGATCCGTGTGCAAACTTGAAGCGACAAGCCACAATACTCGGGCGTTCGCCCATTCATCCCTCTCTCTGGCACTTCCAGCTGGATTCAGCATGCAAGCCATGTCAGGGCTGAATTGAAGCCACACTGAAGTCGCACGCGAAAACTCTTCTGGTGGCATGGCCAACAGCCCTACCAATCAAATGCAACACCAGAAGCGCTCACATGAACAACAGAGTCACTCGCCGAGCGCAAGCTCCTTTTCAAGGAGCCTGTCAACAAAAGTTTCTTTTGAGCTCTGCCACCACGGGTTCACACACCACGTGCCGCTCGCGATTGCAAAGCAGTGTAATCAGCCAGAGCAGCACCCTTCAAATCAAGCTGAAGCAGCCAACACGGGCAAACAAAACGGAAAATTGATGAACAGTTAAAGGCCAAAAAGCAAACAGCCCTAGGACATCTTCTACCATGTGCTGTGTTAACACCCATGCGGTCCGTGTTGCCAAGGGCACATCTGGGCGATGCGTCGTGCAGGAAGCGCGCTTCCACGTGACCAACCGGTCGAGCCATGTGCTCTGTGCTCTTGGAGCTGGGAAGAAACCCTGGAATGATATAATTCCCCCTGTAAATACCAACAAACGCTATGGTTTCAACCATGGTTTCGAAGTGGTGCAGGATTTCGTCCATCCCAGTATCAACTATGTTCCTCCAGTCGACCTGCTTCTTGCGTGTTCGACATCGCAACAGCCAGCTGACCGGGAACGGGTGAAAAACACACAAAACATTAGCACAGCGCAAAGCAGGCAAATGACAATGTGCTGGCAGTGATTCCCTCAGGAAGGCTTAAGCGCACTCGCACAGCCATTCAAAGTCTGTGCCGAGCGCAGAAGCGGGTGACAGTAAAACAAACAATCGACACAATCGGCATGGTAGGAACAGTAAAACAAACAATCAACACAATCGGCATGCTAGGATTACGGTTCTGGGTCCTGGGCTGTGCCCATGAAACAAAACCTGCAACCCCGGCGAATCGCGACCTCAGGTGTTCACCAGGCTTCCCAATGCGAACACCAGGGATGCCGCCACGGCCGCCAGCAGCCACTCGCAGCCGGAAGCCTTGGACTGGGATGCGATCTTTCCCTTCTACGCGGGAACTCAGGAAGAATGGAACTGCTCAAATTTCAACAGTTCAATTGTCGCTTGGAGTGACGCCTCCCTCACAAAGCCGCAAAAAAAACATATGCCAAGCTCCTCCCTTTCTGATGGCGTCAGAGTGAGCGCACACTGACCGGCATCCAGCACGTGAAGCAAACTAGCGGCTTGGGGTCCAGCACTGCAACGCTCAGCCAAACCCTGTGCCACTCTTTGCTTTTTGTTTTCTTCATATTCTGAAAGTTTCTGCGCATGCGGGCGGTTCCTTCGAGTCTTGCTCCCTTCGCTTCGTTCAAGTTTGGTAGGGCCCCAGGGAGCCAGGAACAAGCCGTGCGTCTTTGGTTTCGCGGTGCGGGAAATGACAACAATAACGCAACGTTCGAGATCCCATGGCGAACCCATCGAAAGGCATGGTATTGCTCTGCCCATAGCCCGCCCGCGGTCCGGCTTTGCGTGCTCTCTACGCAAACCCGCTTGAAACATCACCATCAGCCCAAAAGGGAAGGTCCTTTCAAAAGATTGGCCCAAAATTGGCAAACACAAATTGGGGGCGCTGTCCAAAAAGCCACCGGCTTTGGCGAACAGGGAGCCCAGGGAAGCCTTGAGCAGATTTCCTTCCAGCTTCTGGCTGCTCTCTTTGGTGGAAGAGTCGTGGCTGCACGGATTTGCTGCAGTAAGAAGTTTGGGTGTTCTTCTTAAACAGCTGCAAAGAAGAACAGTTTGGAAGAGGCTTGGGTTTTGCCCAATTTTTTTGGGGGGCGCTGTTTAAACCACCGGATACCACCGGTTTTGGCGAGCCCTTGGGAAGCCCCGCGGGTTTTTTTTTCCGCCGCAAGCGGCCTTGAGCTGCGGCTTCAAGGGCTCCGGCTCGTGGCAGGGGCTGTGGTCCTCCTCGAAGCGGCCCTGGCTGTGGCCTGCGGCACCGGCCGGCACCAAGCCACCAGCCGGCTGGGCCGAGCGCAGGGCCGACTCACCTGGGAGAAGTGACGTGGGTTTCCAGAAACTTCCAAACATAGGTGGCCTTTTGGGAAAAATGGATGGGTTTCCCTAGTAAATGGAAGAAACCCATCTAAACCAGAGCCCTCTATTGCTCAAACAAACCAACCAAAAAGGACACCTATGCTTCCAAACTAGGCAAGAGAACAACAAGCAAATCACCCTCCCCCCACTGATGCTGTTGGAAGAAAAACCATATCAGCATAGCAATCATGGCTTCAGACCTTGATGCCAAAACGAGTAATATCACCAAATATCATGCTGTACACTCTGCATGTAGTTGTTCACTCCGAGCTCTTCTTGTGATCACGTTTCTCTGAACCAATGCCCAGCATGCGGGCATGAGAAGCAATGGTCTTCAGACATTGAGAGAGGGCAAATCATTTTAAAAGCATCAGGTGCAAGCGGTTGACTATGGACTAAGTGACTAATTGGGATACCCATTGAAACCTCTTTGCTCCACGTAGGAACATCGATGGTGTATAGCATTTCAAATCGCGATTGGAAAACATATCTACAACCTGGCCGAGATTGCAGGAGGAAATCCTCACAGAATGGGGAGGGTCTGTGGACGAAGGCGCATGTTGAAAATTCGTTAAAATGGTTAGGCGCTATAAAGCGATGGGAGCCTCGGTCATGGGCCCGATTTTAGAGGCAGAATGACTGAACCCAGCCATCCCACGCAAACTCTACAACAAATCATGCCTCAAAATGACTGCACCCAAAGGTATTCAACAGAATTGGCCAAACTGACAGGGTTTAGGACGGACAGTCTGCCAAAATCTCCCAACATCGCCCAAAACAAGCTGTGTCAGAGACAATCCTTATAACGATCCCAACATGCGATCCTTAAGACCCGTTTCTATTTAAACAAGTCTACAGTCTATAGAGGCCGTCCTGGCAACCAGCTCTGTGTATGCAGCCTATCAGCAACCTGTGCTGGCAAACACAAGCAGCAAATGCCTGAGCAACAAATGCCTGAGCAAACAGTCGGGACGCAAGGCCCTCTGATGTGAAATGCTCGGAGTCGCTGGCTCGCTGGCTTCACCCTCTGCAGCGACATCATAGCTTAAACGCCACTACTGCCTCGCGGGGGAGGGGGTCCACCCTATATGTCATTGTTTGACCTACCCTGGGGTAGGAGGGGGGGAGTAATTGGAAGGGGCTGCCAACTAATTGGGAGGGGGTAATTGGGGCTGCACATGAAAGAGTCAATTGGACAATCGGCCGTGGCGCTGGCGTAGCGTCCTCAACAAAGCATTTGCGAATGTTGGACAGGTTGAAACTGACAAGGCTACAAGTACAAGGCAAGTAACGGCAGTCGCAGGATCCAAGAGCCTGGTCAAACCTGCAAGGCATTCGTGCGGACAGCGGCCTCCCAATGATTTTTTTGTTGCAGTCCCAGCAGCTGTCTGAGAGCAGAAACTCTGGGAGCTGCTGATTGGGCAGCACTTCTTGCCACAGCTCCTTGGCCCACTCCGCGGACTTCTGCCCGTAGAGCTTCAACTTCCGCTTGGTGCGGCTGGGCAGCAAACTCTGGATCAGCATGTAGCCCTGCCAAACCCGGAAGTCCACTCCAAAGCCACCGAAACGCAGCACTGCCCATGGAGGTAAAAGGTTGCAAACGCCAAAAGCGGCAAAAGAGTTGACTAGGACCTGACATTCCTGGTCCCAGCCGTGCCTGCATCGCAAATACAACTACTACCTTCACTAGTACATGAGACATGTTGACTTGTGCCAACTGAACAGCGGGGCGCCACACAGTCCGCGGATGAATGTTGGCATGCAGGAACAACAGAAAACATGAAGGGCGCATATCCTGGCAAATTGTCCGCCCTTCTACCCCAGAGAAAAAGGAAAGCGTCAGTGTATCCGTGGGAAAGCCGATCGCAGGCACCGCCCGACTGCGCATACTTCCAACCTACCAAGGCCCGCCTGATGTACCACAGAGCTGGTCCGGATAATAAAGACCTGCGCGACAGAAAGGGGCAGCAATTCAACGGAACGGGCAAATAGGTCATTCATGGAGAGCGCGCGACCCAGGTATGAAGAACAGGGATCCTTACATTCTACACCTGAACATTGCCTTGTAAATGGTGGTTTCCCTTTATGTTGGTAGAAAAAGCAACATGTTTCAAGTGGTTGCAAAATGTATCTGAAGAAGTTGCTGCCATTTACACAGCGCTTTTGCTGTGATCTTTAGTTACAAACCTTTCGATTGAGGTTTCAATATTGCATTCGCATGTTTCTTGTGTTCTGCCTTGCAGGCTTCCGCGGAGCTTCCGCAAAGTGCGTCCCGCGCATTTTCGTTTTGCATGAATACTGTCCACCCGCTTTCTTGCTAAAACGACCGGGTAAAAATCAGAACCTCGCAGAACCTGCTGGTAAGAGTTTTCGAGGTTCTGAAGGATGGTTGGGATGCTCGGTCGAGCATGTGACGACTGTTTGCGAATGAACACTTTGAAGACAAAATGGCATTGACAAAAAGTGGATCTCGTCTTCTCCAGAGCAAGCCAAGGAGTTCCATGTCGCATCAAACTACGGCGGAAAGAGCCCATGCTCTTATCCCAACGTCACGCATGTAGGATTTGCTGGCTTGCCGCGTTGGCCCAGCCTTCCGCACGGTCTCCGGGTAGTTGTTGTCGAAGACCTTGTAGATCTCAGGGCCTAAGCGGAGGTTGTTCCACATGCGGCCCGTCCAGTTGGGGACGCCGCCGTAGTCCCCCACGTCAATGATTTGGATTTGCCCTCGAATCAGCTTCCTGTGCTTGAAGATGGAATTCCGGATCCTGAGCGGTCAAGTTGCCAGTGCCTGCTTGGTGTGCTGCAGTGCCTCTGCAAAAATTGCCTTTAGATCAGATTGACTCACTCTTCAGCCCTGAATGCGACACAAACAGAATCACAGATGGTACAAACACAAACACATAAGTAAACAACACAAACTCCCTGCATTGCAGGAAAGAAACTGTTCGTGCGTCCACTCGAGCTTCGAAAGGCTGTCAACCAGAATTACCTCTGTTCCAAACTCACGGATGAGTCCAGCCGTATCTGCCACACCCAGTCGGAAGAGTCGGACAGGAATGCCGTACTTGTCATTGCCTCAGCTGCCAAATCACTTTCTGGTTCACCGGGTTAGCGCCAAAACAAGAGGCCTTGAACTTGAACTTGCTTGCAGCAACGGGCCCACGAACTCCTCAACGGCTGTGAATCAAAGCTTTATTCGACATCAGCAAGCCACGACCCGCACCTTGAAATCGATGAAGTCTAGGAATCCAACAAGCTTCGCCAACACACATTTAAGCCAAAGCAACCTTCTTGCGAAGGATGAACAGGCATGCAAAACATCTCTGGTGAGGCAGCCAACGCAGTTACCAACATCATGGGAACAATGGTCCGCCCACGCAAATGTTCACAAAGGCTCATGGCAAAGCGCCAACAATGCTTTGTTTGAGATGTTCTCCTGAGCGGATTGGCAACAAACAGTTCGAACTTGTTGTTTACCACTGGAATGGACTTCGCGAAAGTGTGTGAAGCTCAAGGAACTCGGAAAGCAAGATGTTGGAGAAAGCAGGTTGGTATTTGCAGGAGGGCTGCGCCAGTTCGAAGTTCAGGGTTGTGTAGGGTTTTCTGGTTGTGCAGGCCTTTCCCGCGCGGGAAAGCTCGGGGTATGTATGTACTTTGTGTAGCCTCTTGCATACAGTTTCTGGGTCTGCTTAAGTTGCCAAATTCAACGGACACTCCTTTCGAAGGCTGTGACGCTGCAACAAGGAAATGGGTTGGCACAGCGGCACGTCACTCATGCAAGGAATAGACTCTTGTCAACACGTGACCTTGATGGCCCTTCCTATGACATTCAAGATGAGTGGTACGGCGTTTCTCGAAACTAGGGCCAGTTTTAAAGGGAAGCCGCAAGGGAAACCGACCAAGGGGTCCTTCATTTCGAGAATCCGGCATTTTCCAGCTGAGTCTCAGATCTGTTCTTCGACGCCATAGACCTGGCAAAGCCGTGACCTCCGGGTTCGGCATCTTTCCAGTTCCCGGCGCCAGCTGTGCACCTTGCCCTCCACGTCAAAGTCATGACCTCGGCGCGTTGCACGTTGGGATGGGCGGGGGGGGTTGGGGGGGGGGGGAATGGGGCGACTGGTGATGTATGTGCGCATACAAGATTGATCCAAGAACGGGGACATCTATTTCAGCGGGCACGCGCGTGAAGAGGCAAAGCAAAAGGGAAGCTGAATTCGCACTTATCAGGATGCCGGCCTGAAAGATTCTTTCAGAAGGATTAAGGTTTAGCTGCTCATGGCAACAGTCTGGAGGTGCAGAAGCGCCACTCTGAGTGCATTCTCTCAGGGCAACCTGGACCTGCCCCTCAGACATCACTCACTTGAGATCAACAAACAAAATCATCGCACACCTAGGGCAAGCATTGCATGAACTGGGGAGACACGAAGACTTGTATCCCCCTTTCAAACAAGAAGCGCCAGTCCAGCATTGCTCTGAACATCTGCTCTGCCCTTGCCACATTACCATCCCGCGCCCGCAGGAAACGCAGCAGCGTTTGGGCCTGCCGGTGGAGCGGCTTGCGTCTGCACGCTGGATGCAGCTCACAGTCCTCCAGAACCTCGGATACACATGCTGTACATCGACAGCGCGCAAGTGCGTCAAGCTTTTGCCAAGTCCCAAAGAGCGTGCTGCGTCCACAAAGGTCCGATAGGTTTCAAACGTCACGGATATTTCGAATCAAAAGTACACCTGTTTATTCTTCAAGCACGCCCTTCACTCAAAAAGTCTCCTGTTATTGGCCAAGGCAATTTCCCAGAAAGCACTCAATGCAAGCGTGAAGAACTTGCAGGAATAAAGGGCAACTGCAAGAACCCAGCCCTCAGCCAACCACCCACTCAAAATGCGGAAGCACCCCGTGCACAGCTGGCAGGTCTGACACTTATCGTATACGGCCAAAGGGAAACTTGACGATGCACTTGAGCTCAGTTGAGGGTCGCTATGCCGTGCTGGCCAACCAACCACCGATCCGTTGCCGACATCGGGCGCAGCCGCTCCTCAACCTTCCGATTCCGACTTTTTCCTACGCTGAGCACGACGCACAGTTGGGACAAGCAGCCGAGTGAAGCTCGCGCAAGCTCTGAAGTTCGTCTTCTTCAATGCTGTCTGCAATGATGGACCACTCCAGCTCATGCTCTGGATCATGGGGAACGCGATGTGACATCTTCTCCCACTGAGGGGACATGGCGCCAGGTGAGAAGGCGGCATTGCTCGGAGAAGCATCCCCGCCCACCCACATGTCCTTGGCGCCGAATGTTGCCCCGTGATTCAGCACGGTACCGCAAAGAAAGCAGAGCCGGGAAAACAGTCAAATATGAAGTATGTACTACCTGCTTCAAGGTCTGTCTTATTTTAATAATTGAGAGGTATGCTGTGATTGTATTGCCCTGCGCGCCAATACAGCCATAAGACTAAAAATCGTCGCTAAGAACAATCCAAAGCAAGCTCATGGGCCAACCAATCAACTGCAAACAACAAATATTTGGCCATCCAAGGAGCACCGTAGGGATAGCCGTGATAGCCAGAGCCCGGGTAATCCCACCTGCATCTTTGCTCCTGACAGCAGCTTGCTCCCATGGCCGGTTCGGGTGCCCTAAGCCTGAGCCTGCAAGTCTGCGCCAACGTGCATCGGAACTACTGCCAAGTGATGTCAAGTGGGTAGGTCTGAAAGATCAAATTCCTCTTGGAGGGACCCCCTGTCAAATACCATGTTAGTGGGAGAGAGGGTACTGCCGGTATGATGTATTCCTTGGGTGGACTATCATTTGTGGGCAAGCTTTCAACGCAGCATGGCAAAGCACGAGGATGTCTACACAACGCATTGGCTCTAAGACTTTGGCTTCATGATCCGCATCCAGTCCACACCTTCGTTGAGAGCACAAACCGATGCATGATGGAAAGGCCCAGGCAAAACGTACTAATATACATATTCCAAATCAATAATCAGTGGCCACTAGGGCACAAGTGAAAGGAGAGCCTTAGAGCAAGCAACGTAGTTGTTGAGAGGACAACTTGCAAGGGTGGGCAGCAGCTGCCTCTGTCTTGTGAGATGGACAGCTTAGCTGACATGGGCAGAAGGCAGTTTGCGGCGACAGCTCCCATGCTTAGTCACATGGAATCATGCGAAGGTAAACCCATCAGGAGCAAGGTTTGCAAATCAGCCACTGCGTACGCCAAATGACTGAATCACTTCCAAATTCCTGGGACTGCCACCAAAAAGAAATTACAAACGAGCAAACGACGAAGACAATGCCCAGAGCAGAAATGTTTTGTGGGCAAACGTCGCTTGCCCGGAAGGAGGAGGTCAGTGCGACCCCGCGCCAAAATGCGGCTTCCCTCAAGCAGCCGTCCTACAAGGTACTCGTCGCGCTTTCGCGCTTTCTGCAAGAATGAATCAATCAATGCCTGCCGATCCTTCTAACTTTGCGTTCATGTATGCGAAACCGTGTCTACGCCCACATGTATGCACAATGGCACACTGCGCACCGTGGTGCGGGGCATGGCAGCACTATGCAAAGCCAGAGTCTGCATCGTTTGTACTGAGCCGCACTGACTGGTTCAAAATTAGAGCCGTCCAGGCACTCATCAATGCAAACTTTTCTAGGAGCAAGCCGGTAGATGCCAACAAATGATCGGGGGACGAGCTTTACACCCAGCCGCCAAAGTACTCGATGACACTTTCCATGCAAAGTTCTGAACAGCAACAGTTACCAACCCCAAAACTAGCCAGTGGGTCCCACACTGTTTGGTTGACTTCTTGCCCGTCGACCTGCGGCGAGGCGGTTTGCAAGAACCGAAAAGGCCAACAATGAATGGGCCTGTCTCTTTGTCAACAGTACCCCTTTGGGTGGTTTATGGAAACCAACAGGACGCCACATATTTTGGAGGCCCATTTTAAGACAGACAGAATAGAATGAATGCACGTCCTGAGGCCCAGGTGAGGCTAGGCAAATATATCTGCTGCCCAATGATCATGGACTAGCAAAATGCATTCTGAAGTGCCACTGGCGTATTTAAGAGCAATGAGACATGCAAGTGATGGCTTCCTGCTGCTGACCGCTGGGCCAATGAACTAGCAATGTCGGGAAAGGAGCCCCCCGGCCTCACAAACAACCTGGCGACGTCAACAGGGCAAAACCTGAAAACAAAGCTAGGGTCAGGATTGGGCCTGCTCAGGTCGTCTTTGTCTAAGTGGGCTCTCCGCTTTCCGGGCCGAAAATCGTTCAAAATGGCAACTTCCGAATAAGGGTGTTCAATGCTAAATCTCAAAAACAAGTGGATTTTCCTGTCATCACAACTGCTTCTCAGCTAAACGCTCAGTGGCTGAAAATGGTTTAACTGCAAATCACGAACATGGATTGCTGGGCATGCCCTGCCAACCTTTTCCTGCGTGCGCCGAAGAATGTGCAATACCTAGCCTCCCCCTCTGACAGTGCAAGCCTGTACTCATGGCTAAGACCTAAAGGTTGTAGGCTGTGTCCAGTGTGCCGCTTGGCGTAAAGACATCAGTAGATCGTTCACGTGCTTCTTCTCTAAGTAGTCTAAGCGTCTTTGCCCGGTGAACTGCTATCAACTGATCTTGCGTCAGCGCTGGGGAAAGCGTGAAGGTCCTGTAGGCAAGCTGCATGGCAAGTCGGTGGAAGCGTAGCCTTCGGAGGATTCCCCGAAGGCGCTGCCCTTACCCTAGCCGGTGCCAGTGAAACGCTCGGAGCTGGAAACACTGCCTAGTGCAAATGGCGCCCTTGGACTTGGCAAGTTCGCATCATGTGGGCGTGTCTTTTTTTTACGAGAACCTCAACATGGTGTGTTTGGCGTTCTTTAAAACACCAAAACGAGGCACCCCATGTGTGGCGGGATCGATCCTTGAAACCCAGGATCAAATAGCAATGCCACCTGCGTGTCCAAGAACCGCACGCTGACAAACGAAAAGGAAGCAGAGCCCGTCGACTTTTCGAGGGGCACGAAAAACTAGCACCAGAAGCCGTGCACGAAGATTCGCATCTTGAGAAAAACAAAAGCTGAGGCTTGGCTGACCCGGGGCCGACATGCTGCATGCTGCTGGCATCTGGAAACCTCCTCACCTCCTATCAACTAAACCTGGGGCAACGATCAGGAGGCAATCCTGACGCAGGCAAATCCATTTATGGATGTTGGCCTTCGAACAAAAAAGGCCAAACAAAAGATCTCCGATTCCTATACACCCTGGCCAATTGTAGAGAGCCTTCCAGCAACAGCCCGTGCCACCGAGCGCATCCGGACTTGTTGCAGAAGAATTGCCACATGATTTCGTGCAGACTGTAGTTACATTTGGCCTGCAAGTCGATCGCTTAAGCTCCCAACAGCGAACAACCACTGAGTCAACTGTATTCAACGGTTGTTCTTTCACCTTGGCATTCAGACACAGCAGGCGCGGCTTCTGGTGAGCAAAGTAATTGCTGCGCGTAAACGCGCCTGACACACTGCTCATTAACTCAGAGCTTCTGCGAGAGGCATTGGCCTCCTCCATTCACTGTTAAGCCATGTTTGTACATACATTCTCAGAGGCATGGCTGCATGCAAAGCCCTGAAACTAGTTGACGCCAGGAGCGGCCCAGCCAAGTGAAAGAGCAACTGTATGGAAAGAAGGGCTCCATCGCATTGCACAAGCCACGTTAAATTGTAACCTGCATGACATGAAGTTCTGCGATGTGCTTATTTGCGCAAGTTGCGTGTCGCTTCCTGTATCGGGGGGGGGGGGGGCAGGGACTACCACCTAACTGCCGTCCCAGTTAGATCCATTCCCCGAGACTTGAAGCGGCAAACGAAGCTGCGATGTCCCCCACGATTTGGCAGCTCGAACTTAAGGCTGCCGGGGAGCCACTTGTCTTGGCGCAAGGCCACGTGTGCTTCTCCTTCCCCATGCGAAAACCTACGCCGCCCCCGTCAAAGAGACGTGTGCTTTCAGGGGATGACGAAAGCTGGTATGTGTTGGTCAGCTAATTTCCGGTCGCTCTTTCTCGCAGGCCTTTGCTTGGCCTCTTGCTACGAGCTTCCCACTGCCAGCTCAATGCGCGAGATTGCCTGGAAGCAGGGATGCCATGACAAATCAAAGGGCAGCAAAGCAATTCAAACAGTTCTGGCATATCAGTTTGCGTCAAACTTCAAACACGGGCAGGCATTCCACAGGGCTTCTATGGGATGAGAGTCCATTTGCCCTAAAGCTACTCATCCCGCAACCAAAATCCAAGCCGCTCGTTTGGCAAGCCAATAACGGCCTAAGCTTCCACCGGGCGGCATCTGTCATGTCCACCAGGATTCCTTGCACGTGCCTTATCCTCGGCAAAAGGGAATGGTCGGGCAAACAGCCAGTTGAAGCCAAAAACAAGCACTGGACAGATAGTTGCACCACTGGACATTTGGAAACTTGCTTGGCAAACTTTGATAAGTTGGACAAACATCAAAAGCAACGCGTGAAGATAGTTATTAGTTGACCATTGCAGCAACGCGGTGTTTACCGTCAAAGCAAAACAAATAGAATATCAACCCTGAGTAAGGGAACCTGCGGCATATGCCAAAGCCACTCTGGCTCGAACAAACGTCGCTGGAAAGGCCACATCTACATCTACACTTGCAAGCCTACACGGCTCAATCCTGGTGCTTCTTGCGAACACAATTCGTTGTGATCATAGGTGGCCTTCTTGGAAAATAGATGTCCTTGGTGGATGATTGAGCCACCTGGTAAACCAGGGCCCTATATTCATCAACCAAACTATCCAAAAAGGACACCTATGGTTGTGATGCCCTGGTTGAAGCCGCCGGGGTTGCACAACCCGTCTCATCCACTGTATCACTGCACGCCTCAAACAGTGCTACCATGCCCACAAGAAGCAAACTAAGCTCCGGGCATCAAATCGATGCAGACGACATCACCTTGCAATCTAGGCAGTGCTTCTAAACATGGCTTCCTGAAGGAAGTCCCATTGAAAGCAAAGCTGGAACTAAGAGCATTTGGGTGGCAAGTTTGTCCAACATACAAACATCGTGCAAATAGAGCGCCCATGGGCACCCCGAATCCAGGCTCACCACCCCCCCGGCCAAATCCCATGCTTAAGGGATTTCTTTGCTGCCTGTGTTGTTCCGTCTACAAAGCCTCTGCCTGCCTATTTGGGAGTGAAAGGAGTTGAACAGCTTTGACGATTGCACGAAACATATTGTGCATGATTGTTCAACAATTCCAAAAGCTGAATTACGGGATCCCCAAGTAAAGGATCTTGTCTTGGTGAGCTCGTTATACCCCCAGGTGAGCTCGTTACAAAATGGGCAAAACATATTGTGCAAAGCCCGCTGTCTTTTACTTGGCTTAGGGAACTGCATGCAAACCAGTAGTCTTTCCACCTCGAAAATGCGCACTTTGGCATGAAGGAAGGATCGTCAACCAATACCTTCCCTCAAACGAACATGGAAGGTCCCAGGACCAATTTGGAAAACTTGGCTCCATCAGGCCTTCTGGGAGCTTCCATCTTAGTCTGAGGGAGTGTATCTCTTCGCAGGTGATCGATTTGCGAACCGCCAGCGCAGCTACCCGAAGCAATGTCTCCCCCCCTTTGTCGGTATCATAGAGAGAAGCTGGTGGGGATACTTATCGTGTTCAACTACCACCGCAAAACTCATTCTCATGACGGGACTATGCATCCATGACCCAGGACCCGTGCATGACACATATCCAACTGCACATATGTGAACTTTTACATACGAACATGTACGTGACAACGTATACACAATGTGCATATATTTGTGTATATATATATATATATCTGTATATTTATATATATATATATGGGTTAAATATGGTTGTACTATATGCATGCAAATTTGCTCCTATCTGTGCATCAAAATGTTACCTACGTGTTCGTACCATAACCCAAAAGGTACACTAAACAACCACTCAGTTACTCTTGCATGGCGGGGTTAAAAGGGAAAACACATGGGTTGCAAGCCGGGACGGAAAGAGAAGGGTGACAATATATGTATATATTATATATATGTATGTATATAGCGAGAGAAAGAGATCACAATGTATGTATATAAAAGTCAGGGTTTCCTTCGCATTCCTTCGCCTTTGCCTCCCGCCCGTTTTATTCCCCTTTGCCAACCACAAATCTGGCCGGCCCAAAATAAGCTGGGTCACTTCTTCTCGCCTCGCCACGAAGCCTGGCCGTACACATGAGATATCTAAACAGCAAAACCATTCCAAGCTCATTCCTGCGGAACATCACCACATATAGAAATCACAGTTCACCCAAACACGCCTACGGGCCCCGCAACCCAACCAACCCAACAAACCACTCATGGCAGCCCGGCGCGCCAAGCCCAAGCAATCATTGATCAACAGACCGCGGACGAACAGAAACGAATCAAACAAATCCCTGAGTGGATCAACAAACCAAGGCGCTTTTGCAACACCGCTTTCAATCAGCTTCAAGGCCAGCAAGGCGCGAAGTCCGCAAGCAATGCAGTCAAATATCACTCAGCTTTCCGGGGCTGCCAACCTCGAAGCAGTCTATCCCTGTTGCACCTGCCCTCCCAAGTAACGTGGAACCAAGGGGTCCTACAAGACCAAGTTCCTTTGAAAGGGACCGGGTCCCGGTCAGATTCCACGTGAAGGGGAGGATCATTTCAACACCGCCTGGGGCCTGCGCCCGAAAATCGCCCGAAGGCCTCCGGATGCCATGAGCAATGTCCATGACGCCAATGGTGCCGCCATTGTCCGGATCGAAGATGTCCGACAAG